CGCATAAAAATTTAATAATGACGTCATCAATTGTATACGTCATGAACAGATTTTTTGCCTTAATTTTATATGTTTTTTCCAACAAGGATAACTTAATGAAAAATGATCAGAATCACTTTTAATTTTCTAATTGCAATCTTTATTAGTAATACTATATTCTGAGCGAAACAGAAAAAAAATTTTTTTTAAACGCGCCAGATTCACTGTCAAACTTCAAATTTCAAAAAAATTAAAATATGTTTATGTAAAAATAGCACTGCTAGCTATGTTTTTAAAAAAATTTAAAAAGTGCTTCGCTCAGAACACTTTAAATAGAACAATGTAACACTAAAAAAAAATTCAGTTTAATAGCTTTATCCAATCAAAAGTTATCTTTGTTAAAAGACCACAAAAATTGCAAAAAATTAAAGGCAAGAAAAACCTTAAAGAAAAAATAAATAAAATTAAATGAAACATTAAAACTTAAAAACTAAATTAAAATGCTCCACTAGCATATGTCTCTCCTTCCTCAAGTTCATTTATATCATTATGACCTTTTCTAATTGAAAGAAGTTTCTTTCTTCTTTGTTTTACTGAGTTGGTTGACTTTTAGATTGTTTGACACGACAAATATCAGATAATCTAAAACCTTTTTTAGTTAAATACCCTTTGTCTATGCCCAGTTTATTAAAAACTGGAAGCAGTCCTTGGTCACCGTCATTGTATGCAGTAACAGCAGATGTAACTGCAATTTTAAAAACATCATTTCCTATGTATACTCTTTTTGGGCACCGTGTCCATATCAAATTGTTCAAAGACTCATTGACATTCTGGGTCTCACCGTGTAAACATTTTGTCAGAAGTTCATCACTACCAAGACCTCCGTGAGAAAATATTGGAGCAATAACATCAGAAACAGCTTTATGAATATTAACTTTTTCTTTATATGTTTTGACTCGTGTGATTTTGTCACTTTGGTATCTGCACCAAGAATCAGAGCTACGTGGACAGAACTGATGTCGGTTTTCTAAATTTGGCTCATTTATTGAGTGGAGTAAAACCGCAGCAACAGCCTTTTTCATCCCATACAGGTTGCCACTCTTTTGTCGTATGGCCATTCCAACATGGTTTTGAAGAGTGTTCATGACTTTATTTGTTAGCCGACCTTTTCCTCCCCCAATAGTTTTACCATCAGTCAATTTTTTTCCCTTGTAATCGGCTTTAAGTTTACGCAGTCGTTTTCCAACACGTTTTCGGACATGTCCTATACATTCTCCTTCGGTAAAGCTATGACCTGGATATGGATCTGATTTACATATTTCTTCAAAGGATTTTGTATCACCATCATTAATAAAAAATGTGCATCTTAGACAATGAAGACGTACAGAACGTGCAAACATTCTTTTCATTCCTACAACTTCCATAGCTCCAGCACTGCTAATGTGATTTATTAAACATACATGAGTTTCTTTCCAGTTATTATATGCATCTACATTCACTTTTTTTAGTCCCCACATTTCACGTTGTTTACATTTTTTAGATAACACTTCAGTATCGATGCATTTCCCCTCCGAAACTAGTGTAACTACACCATTCAAGGAAGAGTATTCTCTTTTTTGCCAAGCACCGTCACCACTAACTTTAGCATCAATAACAACAGAATCATCTACAGTTTTATTAAAATGTATTTGCTTGGTAGCTTCTTTCATTGACTCTTGTGCTGTTTGTACATAGGCATTATGCAACTTGCTATTAATTTCATTATATGTTGTTTTGGCCATTGGTGATGGCATATTCATGCAACAACAAAATGTTTTTATTGCACTTAAACCTTGACCGATCTCTCTAAATGCAGCAATTGTTTGTATATTAATTTCAAAACTTTTTTTTCTTGAAGTAGACTTTAATTTACTGCACTCTTTTGAAGAAAAAAATGTTATTTTCCAATTACATTCGGTGCATGAAGTATTGAAAAACTGGGCAAGACCAATTTTATTTGATTAAATATGTTCAATGTCTATTCCTGCAATACAAACATGGCATCGTCCATAAAAAAATTGAATCTAGGGGTGGCAATTGGAGTATCATTATCAGAAAATGAAATATTTAATTTTTTTCCAGACGCTGATTTTAAATCAGATTTAATTTGACTCAGTTCATTGTTTACTGTTGTTGATGTCATTTAAAGCTCTTGTGGTAAATCCTTTTCTTTTTCTTGATCGTAATATTTTATATCTTTTTTCAGAACCCATTCCAAGTAATAACAGCTTTATTAATTAAAAAATGTATATATTTTTTAACTGAAGGATGTAAGGATATAATATATATATATATATATATGTATATATATATATATATATATATATATATATATATATATATATATATATATATATATATATATATATATATATATATATATATATATATATATATATATATATATATATATATATATATATATATATATATACCCAGCAAACATGCTTTCAGCGGACCGCGATGCGCAAAGCCGCCGCCGGAATGCCGGTGCTGGCCGTTTGTGATTCCTAATGCGGCTTACCGCTGCCGGGTAGCTGATGTAGGACCGGCATGCTAATTTGTGTTGACTTTCCGCCATCGGCCGAAGAGCGATAAAACACCTCGTTGCCAATGCGATTTTAAATAGGCATGCCAGCTTCGGTAAGTTTATGACGATACGCTTTAGTTTTGCCAACACAATGCCCGAGCAGGCTCCCGGATAACGGTAAGATGTCGTAAAAACACCAAAAGTAAGCATTTCAAGCGCCATGAGACTTTGATCGATTTTTATATTTTATACTGTAGTACATAGTCTCTGTAAAACAGTAAGTAATAAATAAATAGTATTAAAAAAAATCAAATTAGTCTTTTTATTTTTAAGTCTTACAATATAGATTATATATATTAAATCTACATCTATACTTTAATAAAGTATAGTTGTAGATTTAATATATATAACCTATATTGTATATTTTATAATATAAAGTCCGATTTATTTTATTTATTAAATTATATTTTATAATATAAAGTCTTTATATTATAAAATATACCTAGCTATAATTATTGCTTATAAATATTAAAAGTTACATGATTTTATACCTTTATCTATATTTATAAATTATAAATATAGATAAATTTATCTATATTTATAAATTATAAATATAGATATAATAATAATATACTATAATATAATATAAAGTATACTTTACTATATATTATATTATAATATATTATGTTTATATCTATATTTATGTTTATATTTATTTCTACATCTATACTTATATATTATATCTATATCTATACTTAGTATAGATTACTATATATTATATCTATATCTATACTTAGTATAGATATAAAGTATAGATATACATATAGGTTCAATATATATTTATAAAACTCAAAATTAAATATTCTAATTTGATTTTATTTTAAACATATATAACTTTAACAATATTGTTACAGTTATGTAAGAATATTATAACCATATTAGTATAACATTGTTCTTGTTATATTAAAAGTTACATGACTAGTCATATAACTTTTAATATAACAAGAACAATGTTAAACTAATATGAAGTTATATATATATATATATATATATATATATATATATATATATATATATATATATATATATATATATATATATATATATATATATATATATATATATATATATATATATATATATATATATATATATATATATATATATATATACATATACATATATATAATATATACATTTTTAAATATGTACCAGCTTTAGTAAATAAAACAATTTATGTAAATTTCAATAGTGAGCTTTTGGACAAAACGACGACAGATAATAGCTGATGTTGAATATTGCCTAAAAGATCTTACCATTAAATCAAGCAATATTTCACATTCACCAGAAGAAGTACAATAATTGTATTTAAAAAGTATATCCGATTAAAAAATTTCAACTGAGAGTGCTGTTCCCTAAGGTGCAAATAATATTAATTGTGAAGTGAACTCTGACAGTAATCTATTGATATTAAATATTGGCATTAGACAAGGTATTTTAAGTAATAATTTAAGTTTTTTAAAGAAAATGGATTGTATACCAATTCAAGTCAACATTGATGATTTACCATTGTTTAAAAGCAGCATTGGACAATTTTGGCCAATATTAGGTTTAATAAAAAATGTGGATAAACAATATTCAACACAATAAAACCCCATTTATAGTTAGTCTTTTTTATAGTAGGTCTAAACCAAAAGACCGTAATGAATTTCTAAAAATGTTTGTTAATGAAAGTATTGCTTTATTTGGTTCTGGTATTAGTATTAATGGTAAAGTATATAAGTTTGCTATATCAGCTTTTATTTGTGGTACACCAGCTAGATCATTTATAAACAGAAATAAAGGACATAAAGACTATTAATAAATGTTATGCAATAATTAATGGCATTAATTTGATTTCTATTTTTTTTTAATTTTTTAAAAAATATTCTTCAGTATATATATTACTGATGCTTTTTCTATTTATTTTTGTAGATAATAGCTGTGGCAAGTAAAGGAGGCCAGACTTTAAAGGAGGCTGTCCAGAGAATGTCCTTTGCGTTATTCACTAATAACCTCTGCTGTAAACTTAACTTGTCTGGTATTACCAAAAATGACAATGAAAGTAACTTTGTAAAACAAAGACTTACACTTGCTTAAAAGTAATTTTTTTTGTAGGGGCTTGTTACTCTAATTTAATAATTACTTGTGTCTAATTTAGTCATTACTAATCTATTTGTTGATAAATAATTGATAAATAAATAAAATTTATTTATTAACTATATAAAAATAAAAAATTAATAAATACATGAATAAAGTTTGTTAATAAATTGCCTTAAAAAAAATTCTATATTTGTCTGAAATTAAGTTAAAATATATATATATAAATATATATATATATATATATATATATATATATATATATATATATATATATATATATATATATATATATATATATATATATATATATATATATATATATATATATATATATATATATATATATATTTTTTTTTTTAATTTATTTATTTGCATTTACTCCCAACAAGGCTGCAAGCAACCACTATTAAGTTGGGAGTTACTTGGAAAAAGACAGACAACTTGAAAAGTTGAAGGTTGTATGAGTCAGGAAAACATGAAGATGGGAGAGAGTTCCAAAGGATTGAAGTGCAGGGAAAAAAACTAGATGAATAAAAGTTTTTAGAGCATGCAGGGACAGATACAGTAAACGAATGAGACTTAGCTGTATGACGAGTAAAACGAGAATGAATTTTAGTTGATGGAACTAGAGATGATAACTCCTTTGAGCAGTGACCATGATAGTATTTGAAGGAAAGAGAAAGAGATGCAACTTTACGACGACGGGAAAGAGGTTCAAGCTTAGCAGATAGTCCAGGTCCAACAACATTTACAATGCGTTTTTGGACCTTGTCAAGAAGAGAAAGTGAATCATTAGAAGAACCAGCCCAAATATGACAACAGTATTCCATACAGGGACGAGATTTGTAGAAGTAGAGAATGGAATCAGAAGTAAGGAAATGGCGAGCACGATAAAGAGAAGAAACCTTAGCAGAAGCTAATTTAACAATCGATTGTATATATGGTTTCCATGAAAGGATAATCCAAGAAGACGTAAAGAGGAGGACTCAGTTTTCCTGCTAGATAGTTAAATAAAAGTCTTAAATTAATTTTTAGGAGCTGTAAAAAGAAATCCTGCAACAACTTCAGCAACTGAATCAGATTTTCAATATGAGGTTGTGCGTTTTTTGCGTGGTGCATCAGACCGCAATGGCAGAAAAAAAGTTAGACAAGACCAAAAAAACAAACAAGCCGAGAAAATGATGCCTACATCATGTTTTCCAATGCCATTAAATAATTTAGTTCAGAAGATGAATAACATTGCTAAATAAAATAAGCATCTTTATTTACATATTTGTTATCTTTATTTTACAATATTTTATATATTTTTAAACTCAATGGAGTAAAGTTTTTGTGTAATGAGTATTATTGATCTGTGTTTTTCATATTCATTCCCTTTTACAGTAACCTTATGTAAATGAGATTGTAGATGAGAATTTAAATCGTGATATTGAATCTTACCAGAGAATAAAATAAAATTAATTTTATTATTCTGATATTTATTTAATTTTATTATTTTGATATTATTTGATTTAATGTTATTTTTGAAGAAAATCCAAAATATAAGTTCTGGAGTCTGTCTACTGTTTGATTTGTTTGATTATATTAAATTTAAAAATAACTATAAGCTTTAAAATATAAAGTTATTGATGGAAATCTAAATTAACTTGGTATTTAACCAGTAAAGCAGATGAATAAAAATCTAACGAAATTTTTATTTTACAAGCCATTATTTTAAAGGATTGCTTTAACAATTCTGTTTAAACACGCTTGTAATTTAATGTTACATTTATGATTTAATATTATTTCTTTACAGGAAACCGTTTACCTCAACCAGAGTTATATTTCATAGAATTATGTTGACCATGATCCAAATATTGCCATGGATATAAGATAGATGTTTGATTTGCAAACTGGATTTAAATCATATTTTCTTTAAACATATTTATTTGCTCTTTATATACTTACAAATAATTTATTAGAAAAAAATTATATACTTATTTACTAAACCGTTTTATTTCAATCAATTATTTGATTTTTTATATTTTTCAAGGAATTTTTATAGTATATTTTATTGTACTATGTTTTTTTTTTTGTATGGGGAAAACTATGTTCAATTTACAAACTATATTTTAGTTTATCAAAATATATTTTTATTGATGTGTTCTGTCTCTGATTCTTTCTTTTTCAGATGTGCACTTGTGTCTTAGGCTTATGCTTTGCAAAAGGTTCACCATCGCCCTTAAGTTGCTGTGGGTTTTACGGTTTTACTTTCAACCTGGCATATAAGTATCTCATTTTTAAATACTATTTTATTTGTTAAATTAAAATTAAAGAAATTTTTTTTAATGAAATAACAATTTTTTTTTATTATTCATAAACCCCTCAAGCATATTTATACCCCACATTTATAGGATTAGGTATACCAGGTAGGTTACTGTATATGAAGTAGTGTTTTTTTAAAAAAGGCACGCAATATGACTTTTTAAAGTTATTTCCATAGCTTTTCAATTTAAACAAAATTTTTTTTGTTTTTATGTTTTAAATTATGCTTAAATAATAAAATTAAATTTATATTTATTCAATGTAGATGCACTTAGTATCTAAAGTTATTTGTCAATAACTGGTGATCAGACTCTTAAACGAACACGTTTTTAAGGGCTGAGAAGCCCTTATTATCTTTGTTGTAATAGCTCTAAACTTGACTGTTTCAATATTGTCATTATATATCATTGCCTGTTTTTAGGTGAAAGTTAGAAGTCTGCAGACTGCAACGTAAATCAATTTTCAACACATGGTTTCCTGAATATATTTAGTTTTCGATTGAAATGTGAATAAACTGAACTTATAGATATGTTGAAAATTAACTATTTTATATTTTAAACGTTCGCTAAACGCAAGTGAAGCAAAAATATATATCTATAAATGCAAATATACTTTATATTTTGTTTTAGTTTAAAAAAAATTGTTACTTTTATATTCATGTTGTAATTGTAAATTGCAATTTTTAAAATGATTTTTATTATAACTTCTGATTAGTCTTTTTGTTAACCGAGCTTAAGCCTTGCCACGTATGACCTAATGATTTACAGTTGGGGTAGTGTTTTTCGGTGGTAGGAGAATTTCAGTATAATAAATTCGTATTTTGTCTATATACCTATGCACAAAGTGAAAAGATATTTGATGTGTCTTCCAGGCATTGGCAGGATTTGCATTTTTTTATGACTAAAAATTTGAGCCGAAAGATATATAGATTTTTGCTAACAATAAGTGCGTTCTATTCAAACAAAAAAAATAAAAATAATTAAATTTATATCATTGCATTCAAATCTTAGTCAAAACTTATTATAAATCCTATGCTATTCCGCTATGGCTTTATCATCGTTTAGCCGCTGACGGACCGTTGCTCAAACTTTGTCGATTTGCCGCCATAGGTCCGCTGTCGAACCGCCTTCAGTTTTCCGCTAACGGACTGATGTAAATACGATGTGCAAGCCAACGCGGCAACGCAACGGGCGGCCGACGTCGGCATGGCATAAGTGCTGGCAGTGGTCCGTTAACGGTCCGCCTGTTCAATGTTTGCTGGGTATATATATATATATATATATATATATATATATATATATATATATATATATATATATATATATATATATATATATATATATATATATATATATATATATAACTATTTAAATGAAAAAATGCAAAATCATAATGGAAACTTGAAAATGAACAGAGCAATAATAAAATTACTAATAGATGACTAAATAGACAAAAGTACCAAAGTTTTTGACTAAGTAATGCGTCTAATACTTTTAAACACAAGTTGCTTTTTTATAGTATAAGGCAAATCAAAAAATCTACATAACAAGTTGCACATCATGTAACTTTTTTATTATTATAACCATCATTTTAAGTTGTATTTCATCATAACATTATCATAGATTATCATCTAAATTACTAGCTTATTAACACTAATTAACCAGTAAGTTTATCAACGCAATTACTCAATTAGCTTATTACCACATTTAACAAGCTTAGAAATTCTTATAAATTAAATCTATTCTAGTTCCAACCATCCACCAATAATTAAAAAAAAAATTACAACCTTAATTGAGCATATATATCTATCAATTCTTCAAGTAAATTTTTTTTTTCAAAGACACCACCTATTTATAAAGACGCATTAGAAAAATTTTGAATTTACACTAATCTCCAATATCATTGAAATTTAAATCCTTTTAATACAAATAAACGAACATGAAACGTTATATGGTTTAAACCTCCTTCCAGTAAAAATGTTTTGACTTAAATTTGACACCTTTTTTAAAACTTAATTGACATTTTAAACCATTTTTGCTCACCTTCTTAAGTGAACTGACGTGTTTTTTTTTTTATGGCGTAGAGTGTGTTTTAATCTAAAAAGTTGTTATTTAAAAAAATATTTTAAAATAATAGTTAATAATAAAACTACAGAAAAAATACAAACTGATAAATTTTAGTAACTGTGTAATAAGATTATATCGAAATAATTGAATCAAGATTTTAACAATCATATAAATTTAAATATGGCAGTTACTCGAGATGACATTAAAAAAATATTGAAGGAGATGTTTAGTGGTTACAAAAAACAGTTTGAAGAAATATTAAAACAACAAGAAATAAACATTATAGCCATTGTAAGTTGAAGCGCAAAAATAGTTCATGACCACTTCGATAAAGTTAAAAAAAATATAAACGACAATGCCCAAGGCCGGCGCGATAGAGGGGTGTGGGGGAAGGAGGGGGGTGTGACACCTCCGATCAGTCAATAAATTTGACCCTTAGTCGGCAAATTTGATCTTTTTTGACTAGTTAGTCGGCATATGTCGACCCGTTCAATATAGGCTAGTCGGTAATTTACGTAGTTAGTGAGCAAATGTTGTCATGGTAGTCGGAATTTTTTTTTTTTTTAAAAAGGCCAAAGTTGTATTGGCAATCCCCCCCACCCCCCACGTGACATCTACTCGCGCCGGCCCTGACAATGCCGAACGAGATAAGCCAATAATAAAAGATTTTGAAGAAATATAATTAAACTTATATTTTCATAAACAACTTGTTGATGATAAAATAAAAAATGCAACTAGTTATCAGGAAAAGATAAATCCATCTGGTAGTGAAACAGCTAAATTAAACTCAATATAAAAAACAAGTTAAGGGAAACGGAAGATCGTTCGAGGCGAAATAACTTAAGAATAGCTAAAACTCTTGAATTTCAAAGATAAAACCGAAATTCTTAAAAAATTTTTCATCTGAAACGAAAAAATATTTTAATCAATGAAGACTTCTGTCCGGAGACCTTACAAATAAAAAGAGCTTTAAAAGAAAAGATGAAAGTCGAACGAGAATCTGGGAAATACGCTGTCATATCGTACGATAAGTTGATCATACGTGTTGGGCCTCCAATCGAAAAAAGAATTACGTTCGTTATATTTTTACTCTTTTTTATTCATGTATATATATTACCTTGTTCTTTTTTATTTTATTTAAAATTTTATGTTTTTAAAATGAAGGATAACTTTTCTACAAAACTTAACTACGAAGATGTAAAGCTAAGTAATAATGATAAAGAAAATTTTTTTTGTCCAAAAAAGCTTTGAAACTGAGTATTTTTCAATTTCTGAGTATACTCATTTTCTTTCTCAGAACAATAATGCTTTCTCAATTTTAACTCTGAACATTTGGAGTATGAGTAAAAACTTTGAAAACTTTAAAATTTTTTTTTTTAACCTTAAACACGATTTTAAAATTATCTGCCTTACAGAAACATGACTTAAAAACAATAAAAAAAACGCACATTTTGAATTAGCCAATTACGCATCAGTTCATCAATCGCGTCATAAACATGCTGGGTATTTTCATTCACAGCTCATTAAATTTTATTCAGCGTTTTATTTTGCATTTTATATTCAGTGTTTTATTTTGCATTTTATTATGCAATTTTATTATGCATTGAAATAATAAATAAAAAGGATAAGAACATTTTCGTAAACTCTATTTATAGACAACCAGATGGAAACTTGAAAAATTTCAAAGATCACATTAAAAGTTTTCTAACCCAAACCAGTGAAAATCGGAAACATGTAAACTTAGTTGGAGATTTTAACATAAACATTTTAAATTATGCATCAAAAAATGATGCTAAATGCTTTATTGACACCATTTTGCAATATAACTTTGTTCCAACAATAAATAAGGCAACAAGAATAACAAAGACATCGTCAACATTAGTCGACAACTTAATAACAAACAATTTTCAAAAATGCTGCGTAAGAACAGGCATATTTAAAACCGAAATAAGTGATAATTTTCCTATGTTTCTAACCACTAAAAATATAACATTAAAAAAATTTCCATAAAATCAAAGATATTGGTCCGTCAAATCAATGAAAACTCCTTAGCACATTTTCGCCATCTATTAAAAAATTCTGTTGATTGGAACTTAGTGTATAAAACACAAAATTAAAATAATGCTTATGAATTAATCCTCGCGTTTTTTAGTAAACAATAAAGGCATTTCTTGGCCTACTATAATAACACGGCCCAAAAAAGGCATTTCTTGGCCTACTGTAATAACACGGCCGCTTTCCGCAGCGAAAAATTAGAAGGGTAACTTTTCAAAGCATAAATATATCGTATAGCATGATTGGCAACACTTACCGTAATTAAAACTAAAATCTTTATAGGGATGTTTGTTTACAGAAGTGTGTATATAATATAAAGTTTGTTTGACAAATATAACTTTAGGGGGGAGGGGGGGCCATAATCACCTTTTAGATTTTTTATAGTTTAACCAATTTTTTTTTAATAATTTTTCATGCTGATTCTGAAAATCACAATCATTTTTTTTTCATTATAATTATTTAGCCTTCTACTTCGATTTTAATAAAAGTTAATATATTGACAAAAAAAGGCATTTTTAAAAATAGATGAAATTATTATTATCATTAAATACAAGAAAAGTAAAAAAGTAGAAATCTTTTTCTGTTTAATTTATCAATAATATACCTTACGGTTTATAAGTAACCAAAAAACTTGGCATTATATCTGAAAATAATTCATACAGTTTGTTATATACTATTGAAAATAGAAAATAACTATAAAAGTAATCATATGTGATAGAGATTGCTGCGGGAACTTTCCATGTAGAACATCTAGGTTATAAGCGTGCTTTTTGGTAGACATAAGATGGAGGTTTGTATTTTTATATTAACAATCATGTATTTAAACAGAATAGATCTCCGCGACAATGACCTACATTGTATCCCTAAAATAAAGAACATCATATTTCGAACATTTTTTTCATTTTAACATATCTTTATCTACTTCAATAATGTCTAGTTTACAGCTAAATGGGCTGCCTTGCAACTTTAATCAAACTAAAATAGAACTCATCTTGCACACCTGATGTAACATTTGCTGCTCTTCCATTGTTATCCATTTGCTTTTGTGCTGATTTCAACTATATTCATTGTTTCAACTTTTTGGACAAATAATTGGACAATATTTTTCCAAAATATATTTAAACTACGTGAACCTTCACTTTTTATATGGTTTAAATAATTAAGTATTCATCTACTGTTGAAATTAAATGGATTTTCTCCAAAGCTTTCCAACTGCAACAACTTAATTAGAAAGTTAATACTAATCATATTCCATCATCAACCAAACACATAATACTTTTCTCTTTTTTGAAGTCCTGAGGCTAACTTTTGCCAAAATACTCTAGCAAGAATGATACAATCATTCAACCACTTTGAGGTATACTTATTAACTGCTTCTAGAATTT